TTGAACAGAAAAGAAATATTATTCCGATTAGTGGTGTTGTAAAGCAAATTCAATGTCATTCGTACAATCCGACTGAATCGAAGCAATTTTTTTTATGTATTCCTTTTGAAATGGGTCGAAATTAGTGTAAGAACTCATGTATTTTTTTTACGATCATGACAAAATAAATATCGATGATTATTTAAACGATAAAAAAAAGTGACTAATTTTCAAGATGAATTGCAAGCTACCGACTTTGCGGTGTATATATTCTTGGGTGAGTAATGAAGACGTATTAGAAATACTGCATCATCAATGATTACACACCGTGTGTTATATGGGAACTACAAAATGAGTTTGAAGTATAAATTTTAGATATGGTGTAATTGATTTAGTTTATAGCACTCACATGACATGGGGGCCCACCACATGACATACACACATACTGAACTGTGGCTCATTTATTCGTTCTTTCGTTCGTTCTTTCGTTTGTTCTTTCGTTCCTTCAAAATGAAAACATCAGCAAATTCTGATTAACATGAACTGAATCAACGGCGGTTCAAAGCAATAAATTCACCGTAACATTTTTTTTCTTTTAAAAACGCGTTCGCTCACTCACTCATTCACTCACTCACTCGTGTTCATATAAATCGGAATCACAAAAATTTGTTCATATTTCTCGGTGTTTTAATTTTAGACTGTTTTGAGACGTTACGTCTCTTGGGATATGACATGTGCGAGCGTACTTCACATAACTTAAGCGAAATAATGTTTTACATTTCAAGTGTTATGATGTTATGATTTCTGACCTTAAGTTCATGATACACATCATGAGGAAAATGCCAACAAATCGCGTCCTTTTTTCTCACTCTCGCCGCGAAAAAAAAAATCGAGGCAAATCAAATCGAAAATGCGACACGGAAATATGCGTGAATTCGACGAATTGAGCTATGGCCGGGACGAAAATAGAGAGCAGCCGATCGTGCTATTCTTACGAATGAAAATAGCATTGAGAAATTACACCATTAAGACAAATGACTAATTCGTGAAACGCCTTTCTTGCAACGGAATTTATTGAGATGTTAACAGCAATTTTTGTGCTGCCGCCGCTGTTGTTCAAACACAACATGACAGCTCTCAGAGGACTCAGACCAGTTCATTGAGAGAAATTTGTTGAAAAGTCAAATTTGTCATAAAAATGAGTAAATACACACGTGTTCAGCCTTTGTTATTTGAGACAATTTTCGATCGTTTTTTCCCCTCCTTCTTCACCATATCATGTTGTGTTCGCCATGTCGTAGTGAGTGAGTGTATATACTTACGATGAAGATGCGTTCCATCGATATCGATACTGATCAATAAAATAACAATCATTTTGATATCAAATAAGAACCCAATCATAACATTATTAGTCGAGAGAAAGAAAATGTGCCTGGCCTCTGCATTGATATGCTATTCACACGCATTTTCGGTATAAATTCGCGCCGCATTCTCAATATCGATAGCTGGCTGGCAGACTCTGACCAAAGCCATCATCAGCCAAAATACGAACTATTTTCGCCGATTTTTATCAACATTATCAATGGCAAAGTGCGATTTCGTGCAAATATTCTCGCTCTTATCGTTAGTCGTCTCAGATAGTTGCGAAACGTTTCCAATTTCCAAACATAAATCATGTGCTTTTCGTGATAATTTCGCCCATCATCATCATCATCATGGTGAGCAATTCGAACAGAAGTGGCAGCACCGCGGGAAAAAAAGGTTTTTTCGCTTGTCACTTTTTTTTTCTTTCGACGCTTCATTCTTTCTGTCTCTATTCGTCGGAACACAAACTGATTTAAAAATGACTCTATAACAACGGAATCGGGTTTGCAAGAAAACTTTTCTACTCCTGTTCTCTCGCCTCACCATTTTTTTTTCTCTCGTCGTCGATGTCGAACGATTTTTGGCTCTTGTTCGTTCAATCATGTATTCATAATGGGACTTGTTCGATATCTTACCATTAACGTATTAATGGCTCGTATATGATAGTAGTCGCTGAAAGAATGAGGCGAAAAAATTAGATGAACACACAACTCTGTCGATGGTATCGATGACAATGTTATGAGGTCTTCCGTTTCATTCATATGCGTTGCGCGTTGTTTTTTTCTCTTCTAAATGTGAACTTTGTGGAAAATGTCGAGCGAGAAAAAAAAACATCATCGAACTTAACTTAATAACGGGTATTGTTATCGTTGCATGTCTTTTTTTGGTGTGTTCTGTTTGTTACGACCAAAAATGGTAAAAATGGTCCATTGCTCTATGAACTCGCATCATTTTTAGCAGGAGAGAGACGAGAGAGAGAGAGAGAGAAACCAAGCGCGACCGTCCATTGACATGAATTAATATTTTATGTATATTTCATGAACGACAGACAAAATAATCGATTGTTTCTTCCGTGAGATTAGATTTCGGGTCATCAATCACTTTTTTTAAATTTGAGAACTAGAAAGAAAGTGGATTGAAGCAATTTGCAAAATTTATGGGACATTCGCTTTTACTACGTTCGATTTTTTGTTCTGGTTTATTAGTGGCTACTTATCCTCGCCATTTTTTTCTCACTTAAATGTATCGATTTTAAATGGTTATTTATTGAGTTTTCAAGTAATTTTCAGCCAATTGGGCTCCAAAAACCCACTTCTTCCTTTTTTGGCCTTTCGATCCACAAGTGGAACAAATCTCGGCGAGATTCACACACAAGACAAGCACAATCAGAACAACTGATAACAACTATATACGTGTAGAACAAAAAAAAAGGGAAACACGAGCACGAGAGAGGGGCAAAGCGAACGGCAAAGGCATTGATGTGCAAAAGGAATCGAATCGTGCAAACCACAACACGGGATCATTTTTACGTTATACGTGACAAGAATGCACATGCACAATAAAGATTCTCAACTCATGAGAACGAAGGATTTATATTTTCCGACGGAAACTTTTATATGCAATACTGTCGACTGGCGCGAATATGAGCGCGATGGCAAAAATACACATATTTTTGTGGCGTTTTTTTCTCTTGTTATTCTTTCTATCGCTCTTTGTCTTTCTCTCTGTATTTTTTTGCATCTCAGTCTCTCTGTCCCTTTCCTACGTTCGAATAGCTATTCGCATGAATTTTGACGCTCGTATTTTTGCTTTACACACACGAACATTAGTTTTGATACTTTGATATTTAGTGGGCGCTCTGCTGCAACATCTGAAAGTGTGTGACTCACAATTTGAACTAAAATTCGGTTGGACGCTCTTCTTTTATGCATACGGCTTTATATGCGAGTCGATCTTTCTGCAGTTTAGTTTTTTTTTCTTTCTCTTTTCGCTCTCTCTCTCTCTCTCTCTCTCTCTCTCTCTCTCTCTCTTTCTCTCTTTATCTTTTTCGCCACTTTCCAAAACGTTCTAATGATCCTTTTGTTCTCCATCACCACGCTGCAGTTGAGAAAGCAAACAAGCCGAATGAAGGAGTCGGCAAAAAATCTTGTTGAATGCAGTTAAATGGCATCATTTGCCAATGTTACAAGACACGAAATGTTGGATGTGGCTATTCCGAATACTTTTTTTTATTTCTTGATTTGTCTCAATTTGAGACTCTCAAAATGGCATAAGCAACGGGGTTTTAATGCATTTGTTCCCATGTATGGCTAGTTTTGCAATGGTCTGTAAGGACCAGAACGAATTCTTTCTGTGGTCAACACATTCATTTTCTTCATTTTGTCGAATAGCAAACATTTTGTTTGAAAAAAGCAAATTATTACGATTTGAACAATGAATCTTTATGCCATTTTCAGGTGATTTAACCAATTTATCGCTATTTCCAGGTGAAATGCTTGTCATTGCAATGACAATTGTCATTCATTTAAACAAATATTTAGTCAAAAATTTTGAAACTGTTTTATTTCACTCAAAAGTCGTCAAATTAAAGTCATTGTACTTCGATTCGTTCATAGATAGAGAGCAAAATGAGGTATCTATGATAGAGCAAAGACAGATAATGGAACTATATCGAGATAATGCGAAGAAAAAAATTATTTTGCCCATTTTTCATCCAAAGTTTGGATTCCAAACCAATGGCTTTTTAAAACCGCTTGAAACTCATTTATATTTTTCCATATTTATGATGAATATTTTGATTTGAATGAAAAACCGAAAATTTTTCAACATTTCAATTTTTTTTTGAGGAAATAAAAAAGAAACTTTGGAGATAAATCAATAAAAAAAAAATTCTAATAATTTTTTTATGTAAAAATTCAAACGAAGAAGAAAATGTGTTAGCCAATGGTGAGAAATTCGATTTACGACCGAATTTGATAATGGCCATTTCCATGTTCAGATAATACGTTCACAAAGAATATAAATTCCACCTGAAGTGTACACGTTGAATTATGTAACAAAAGGCATGAAAAAAGTCTTAAAAACCTCGTGAATTTCGGATCGAAAGCATTATGAGTGAGTGAAAGCACATTTTTATGCGATCGACAAGTATTGTTCTTTGATCATTTTGAAAAGACTTATGACTATAATCAAGTATTTCATGGCATTTTCGTACATATTAGCGTGTTTTACACATTGGCACTTATCTTTTTTTTGCCCAAAGATAATGTCAATGTTTCATCGACAATACCGCGGCAGCAAAAACAAAACTAAATCCATTATCTCACATTCGAACTATAAATGACAGTTTTTTTTCTCCCAACAGCTGATATCACTTTCAGCGCCATTCTATAAAATTCATAAATTTTGATAATCACTTCGGAACTGAAACCGGTTCTATTTTTGTTCTATCATAATTATGAACGAAAGAAGCAAAGAAAGCAAAAAAAACGTATCGCCGCTACTTAATCGAAATGAACAAACACATTAACACTTTGAGTTGATGGATTTGGTCGAAAAGGCGAAATAGAATATGGAATTTCTTTTTTTTGCAACACATGCTTTTATCCATACTATGTGTTCACATGTAGACGAAAAAAAACACGTTTAATCCTTACCTTTGGTTCAACGGTTTGTAATCCGATAAAGAAAATTACAAAAATTGCGGTGATTGTCCAAAAATTGCTTCGCCAAGTGGAACGAAGCATTTTTCGTTGTTCCATTGCGTTCGCGAACGCAACTGAGCAGCAAATTCACGTCACTTTATGATATATCGAAATTGAAGTGAATTTAGTCTTGGCCCGAAATTAATGAAGAATTTTATTTTTCCTTTCAATCCACTCAAAATCACTGTTTTTCTTTTTTATTTCAATCAAATGTCCATCTTTGATCGTTTTTTCTTCTATCAATAAAAACGATAAGATTGTCTTTTCTTTTCCACCGAATTTCAATTCCAACAAAACACTTTCGATATCCTAAAGAAGAAAAAAAACGATATTTCTCTCTCGAAACTATCACTAAAAAATTGAAAAAAAAAAGAATTAAAATTTAAAAAATGTTCGACCAATTAAAAATTCTTTAACACGCACAAATGCTTGAGTTGAGGAATATCCGTCCGCTCGTGACGACGGCACAGCACAGAATGTATTTTGCAAAGCACACACGCTGAACCGATTCCGAAAAAAAACAGTCGGTCTTTTGATGAGTACGAACAACCGCGAATCGCACACTAAACCGAATCATTTAATAGCGAAAATATGCATATAACGAACGGCAAACACAACACCGGTCGGTCGGTCGGTCGGCCGTCTCTCTCTCTCTCTCTCTCTCTCTCTCTCTCTCTCTCTCTCTGTGCTCTCTCGTTGGCTCTCTGTGTGTCATATGTGCTCTGGCGAAAAGAATCATCGTTCGCTGCTTCGGCTTCTTCGCTCCTCGAAAATGATGTCGTCATCGCGTTCTCCGTACATATATCATGTTACGTTTTTCTTCTTCTCTTACTCCTTGTCTGTGTTTTTTTTTGTCTTTCTGTCGTTCTGAACGATGCTCTTCAGTTGTGTGCCTCTGTCTGTATGTATTCAACGATTGTACGTTGTCACACACAGCATATAAACATCAACAATATTGTTATCCACGGCAAGGCTTCCAAATGCGCTTTACACTCACATAACGCACACCAGCAGACACATTGAACCATAACATCGTCTGATACCCGGCATTTTGGTGTATTCGCACGCGGTCGCATATGAACAATTATTGTAATCCGCGTGTTTAAATTTCGTAGACATACAACCTGTAGTGTGTCTGCTTTTAGCACTCACACATTCATACACACCGGGTTCTCTGTAATCGTAGCAAGAGACAGATACGAAATGTGCTTTGAACCTATTTTCCGCATGTGCACTCATTCCGGACAGGTCAATCGAAGCTTATGAAGCAATTGAATTTATCAATATTTCAACCGGCCAGAACGACATCGATCTGGGCTATTGAACTATGTTCCATTTTGAGGTTTTTTTTTATGCTCGTATTTGCATTTTAAACGTTGAATTTTTTTTAATATGAATTTCGTTGTTTGTGTTTTTTTTTTTCTCGACTATTGGCATTCACAGTGCTAAACTAACATAACACAGCGTGAATCTCACACTTCGATTTTTGAATATTTTTTATGGCAAATATTTTGTAAATTGATGAAAAAATGAATGCGCTTAATTTAAGAATTTTACATTTTCTATTTAAATTTGTTAAAATTTGTTTCATTAAACAACGAGCTTCCAAATGTCATTCTCCACTTTGGTTTGAAACCTCTTTCGCTTACCACGTGGTCGAAACCAAGAGATTGTTTGTTTATATATTTTGCAAATGTTTTTCCAATTGCCAAAATATAATTCAATTTGTAGAGAAATGAAATATAGCATATTTAAGCTCCGCCTCTCTCTCAAAATGCGCATGTCTGACCCCCAAGTTATAAACGTTCATTGCATTACTTGTTGATATCACATGTGTTCCTGTCAAGGTGACGAAAATATTAGTTTCGGAAGAAAAACATGAATCGTTTTTCGAACCATTTTTGAAATTCCAAGCTTTTTTAATAATCAAATTGAATGATTTTGAAAAAATTTTAGAAATTGGTATTGAAAAATGTTTGCTGATAGTGCAAATACCGCTGTTTGATAAGAAATGATTAGAAGCAGTGCACTTTTCAAGAAGCTTTATACCTTATTTCATGGTGAATTGCAAGATATCTTTTCGTAAAGAGATTGTGGAACTTCGGAAAGCGTTTCTTTCTATTTAATGTATTTGTTTTTTTTTTGTAAACGAATTTAATACTTTTTCATCAACCATCAACATTTTTTTTAGCTTAAAAACCTATTTTGTATCATTGTTTGTTTTTTTTGTGTCATTGTTACTCTCTTCAACATAAATTCATTATGATGAAATCAAAATTACCGCTTGACATTGACGATGCCATCTATTGGACGTAATTGCACATTTTTGGTATTCAAACAAGTTTGAATCGTCAACTAACTGTTGATGGAAACAATTGCTTCCGAAATGTAAATACATATACATATTAACATACGGCTATGTACAATTGTACATGTACAACTGGCACGGCTATTATTATCAAGAGCGATAACACCGTAAAGAGGACAAAAAATTGAAACCTGATTATGAAATTTGGTACGAACAATTCAGATCTCTATTGAGTGTTTCGGGATTTAGATGTGAAACAAGTTGGTTTTTAATTTTTGCTGTGCACTGTGGTAAACTCACTTTTCGTACCGATTATTTAAATTCGATTCTTATAAGTATTGAAATATATCGTTCAAAAATTGGCTTAAAGTGCTATTTTTCTCGTGAGGATCTGAATTTTTGTGTTATTCAATTGCTTTTGTTTGCGTCCATTTGATTGGAAAAGTATTGAAAAGTGAGAACCAAAAGTATTTTTTTTAATTAGTATATTTTAGTAAATTTTTCCACATTTCCAGTTTCAAAACCATATCAAGTTTTTACGTAATGGATTAATACAGTTTTTGAAGTGTGTTAATAAGATTAAAGTAAACAGTTTAGAACTAAAGCATCGTTATCACCAATTTTTGTTGAATCTGAAACCGAAATTCCGACCGATTTTGTTATATTTTATGTGTTGAAAAAGCAAAAGACAAAAAAAAAACAATTTCAATGTAGCCTGTTTTTGCGTTTGAGTTAATCCCAAATGTGGTTTTGTACCAGTGCCGTAACTAGAAAAAAATCTTTGGTGGTGCGCTGAAAATTTTCAAAGGTGCTGGAAAACGATAACGAACAACAACAAAAATAACAATACATTTTGCGTTTTTCTGAGAACCAATTATGATTCGTTTTATTCAAGATCAAATATAATATTTATTTAATGTTACAGTAACGTAATTGCTGATTTGATTAGGAAATATAATAGTATTGTAGATATTCAATAATGTTTACATAAATCGAAAAAGTATCAAAAACAAAAATAAGACCTGATTCGTTGCACTTTAAAATAAACTTAAACGTCTGTTTTTTTCATTGAATTTTCGCATAATAGAATTGTCATCCAATGTTTTGAGTTTCTTTTTTTCAAATGCCAAGAATGTGAGATTGCAGAGGCGCTTATCCGTCATCGCCATCCGACGCACCGTGTCTATTCTTGATAATGCTGAAAATGAGCACTCACTTACTGCCGTGCTACTTGCAAACGTTTCAGCTGCCTCCAGTAGTTGATACGTATCATTCATAGCTTCTCTAACTGGAAATAGCTTCTCTAACTTGGACATTCCTTGCTTGTTTTTTTCTTTCGATAAAAATTGTTTCACCACGGATAATTCGGCTTCTGAGGGCAATGTCAAATTAATTTCGCTCAACGGCTTGAGCGCATTTCGATCAAAATCATCGTCACCTATGTTGTTTACTTCATCGATAGCAGTCAAAATATCGGTGTTCTCATCGAAGCGACGAGCCATTTCACTTGAAACGCGATCGATTACATTGAAATACTGCGATTTCAGCAACAATGTTTCTTTTTCGACGTTGTTTTGCGCATCTACTTCAATGTGACGCTCCCCAAGCGTCTCCAATACGATAGAGTTATTCAATCGGGTGCTACGCTGACGAATTCTCTGTGGTCTCGGCTCGAAATCTTCAAAATTGCTCATTACTTTTTCAGCGATTTGCAGAAAACGGTTGAACGCTTCATCCGTTCTTTGATCCAGCACGGTTTTGTGAACGGATTCAATTATCGGCTTCGCTTGAATAAATCCTATTTCACGGCTTTGAAGCATTTTGTTGGCTGGTTCTATCAAACTGAGTAAATGACATAAAAAATGCAGCATGAACAAAAACTTCTTTTCCATAATTGCACTTGACAGGCCTGAAGCTAATGCAATGTCGTCGGCATCAAAGTTCTTTCCATTGCCATTTTTTATCGTGTCCAATGCAGCAAGCAAATCATCGTAATTTTGGGCGATTGTTTCAATTGCTTTTAAATGGCCGGACCATCGTGTTTCAATGAGTCTGGGAATGTTCGTTCCGTCGTATTTTCTTCGAACCTTGAAACGATTGAAAAATTTATGCAGAAGCCTAACTTGATCGAAAAATAACCGGCATGAGTCTATTTCCGACACTACAGCTATTACGACAAGGTGCAAACGGTGATTAAAACAATGTATATAGGGGATTTTTCGTTTGAAGTATTCTTGTAGCAATGTTTGCACACCACCATGTTCTCCGCTCATGACGAACGCACCGTCATAGCACAGGCAGATTATTTTAGCAACAATAATGTCATATTCTGTGATTTGGTCGATGATCAATTGTGTTATGCCTTTTGCTGTGATGTCGTCAGCTTTTACAAAACACAGAAGTGATTCAACTGGCTTTCCATTCTTGATATAACGAAACGCAATTGATATGATTTCTCGACCGTTTTTGTCTTTGGTTCCGTCGGCCATCAAAGTGCAATGGGTAGAATCATTTATATCGGCAACAATTTTCTCACGCAACAGATCGGCAATGATTTGAATGATTTCATTTTGGATGAGAGGAGACGTATACGTTGCGTTTGCTGGCATTTGCTCTTGGCAGTGACGCAAATGTTCATCGTTTTCCAAATTGTACTCGAATAAATTATTAAATAAGCCACCTTCTTTATCTTCTGCACTGTCCCAGTTCCCGCGCAAGGGCAACTCGTTTTGCGCCAAGAATAAAATCGTTGAGATGATCTTTTTAAAATAATAACGTCGCTTTTCTAAAACGGTTTCATTCAAAAGAGTTGACACTTCTTGGTTTGAACTTGACCTACACAATTTCTCTTTCCATGAAAGCATGCTGCTTATATGAGATGGAGTTGATTCATGCTTTTTAAATCCTTTGCCTGTACTTAAAGCCGCTTGCCATTTGTCATAGCCAGTCGTTGTGAAGACATCACTCACGTTGCCCAGTCCAAATTGACGGCATGCGTAGCAAAACGCCGCATCTTTTTCTTTGGAATATTCCAACCACTCGAAGTTTGTGAGCCATTTGCTTTGGAACGACCGTCCATCTTCCTGCTTTTTGAATTTGTAATTATTGAAAACTTGAATCTTCTTGTCTTCTCCTTTCTGTGAGATATCGTTCGGCTCATGAATAGTTTCAGTTCGTTCGGATGTGGTTCCAGATCCACTTGCAATTTCTTCTGAAACAATCACGCTTGGAACAATTTCACTTGAATCAACTCGTTCTGCAGTAGTTGAACTTGCTTCTTTCGCTCGGCTTTTTTTGTTCCAAAAACTTTCCAATGTAGCCTAAAAATATTTGTTAATAATCTAAGATAATATTTGCTTTTCAAGCGATAATGGTAACATCTATCTCTGGATTTCGTTTCGGTTCAACACCTTTTCCACTTTTATTCGATGTTTTTTTTTGTGGCAAAGACATTTTAAATGTAAAAGTCAGTATCGAAACTTTGCTATTGATTTTGCAAGAAAACAACCGACTAATCGATGAGCTGATTACGAACTGACACAAATTCAATTTCTTTTCATGCATCGTACTTCTTCGTTCAATTGTTTACATTTGATATTAAACCAAACAATTCTATATTTTTGTCGGTGATATTAATAAAATATGCTTATTATCAAATCAAGTGGTGACGACGCTGATCTGCGCTGATCTTGCAAATTTTGTTTTGACTTTCGTATGTTTTGTGAATTGAACTGTGTATGCAGTAATCAAATTGGGATTAATATCGAGTTTGAAATGCCTAATTAGCAAAAACAATAAATACAAGTAAACGCAGTTCATATAACCAAGTTTTCATATGAATCCAAACAGAACCGATAGCCGATGTATAGAAGAATGCTTTGATTTAAAACACTGAAGCAAAATACTGAAATGATGATTCATTTATTTGCCGATTTTGTCTCAACTTTTTTGTGTGTAGGCAGAAAAAAGTATCAAACATTATCGGAAATTTTTCAAGAAAGTGCTGAACAAATGCTCAAAAAAATTTTGGGGGTGCTCGACAAGATTTTGGGGGTGCTGAGCACCCCCAAGCATCCGTCTGATTACGGGCCTGTTTTGTACGAATACTTGAGTTTAATCATTTATTTATTTGCAAGTTTTAACGTCTACTTAAATAAGCCGACGGTTTTAACAGTTCAGTTTCAGAATAATTGTGATTTTTTTTAATCATTCGATCTTCTTCCAAACTGTCGAACCATTTTTTTGTATTTTGTAATAAAAATAATAACTTTACTTTCACATTCCATTTCATCCATTATTTTTTCATCAATAGATTGGCGATTCAAAGACACATTTTTGCACCGAACATCGCAAGGAAAAGAATTGTTTAAATATTGTTCAACATGAACATGTTACTTGTGATCACATTGTTTATTGCTGCTTTCACTTTACAAGAAGTAGAAGGAAATCCGACCATTTCTACGGGTAATTCACTATTTTCGTATTCTAATTTACATTTCAGAACTATTTGGCACAATTTGGGAAAAATATATTCAATTGAGGCAGAATACATTTGGCAAGATTTTCGCAAAAAACTTGTTCCCCCACAAAAATATGGTGCTCGAAGAATATTTCGAAAAAAAAAATTCCGAAAGAAGACTTTCTTAAGAAATCTTACATTTTATACCAACTGACTTCTTCTTCATCTTTCATACCTTGTGGGAATCGTGTGACTGGTTTGTTTGTTGGATTGGACGACTGGAGCGTTACAAATTTGGCGATGTGTTTGGAGGTTGTTTAACATTTTACGAAAAGTTAGTTATTCCTCCTTTTACTAAAAGTTAGCTAACCATTCTTGGGCTCTGAAGTTCCAATTTCATCGGAGGCCGAAAACTCATGCTATTTCGCTCACACTTACGTGCAGTTACCCGTATACACATCAACGAAGCAGTCTGCTTCAATGTTGAAAAGTAGTGCGTAATAAAAAAAAACAATAACGTACATGTTTCGGCAACGTTGCTAACGTTGCTCTAGAAGAGATTATGAATGAACGTTGAACGTACTAATGAGAAATAAAGTTTTTCAATTACTGTTTGAATTGTTATCACCAAATAGTTATCATATGAACATACAATTACCAGATTATGTTGCAAATATTTCTTTTATGAAATGTATGTATTCGTATGTTACACACTCAATACGAATCAAACTTGACGAAATTCAATTGATTACAAACTAACTGATTGTTGATGTCGCTGTTATTGTAATGGTCATAATAATGTGATTTCACGTATAATTGTTGCTTTGCATTTTGCTGTAAAAACAAATTTTTCTTTTCTATACAGAAAGAAAGTTAGCTGAAGAAGTTATTGTGGAATCAAGTTTAACTGTTAATCCACAACCTCCAATCGAGTCCCGCAATATTCGCGATTTGCTCTATTACCTTGTATCAGACTCGCCATTGGTCAGGTAAATCCTTCAATTTATTTTCGACAAAATTTTATTTCACAGATGAACCTAAATAAAGAATGACTACCAGCTTTGCCCTATTTGAACTTTTCATGATATTTGTACGTGAAATTTATAAGTCCATCTATTGAAAAAACCCAAAATCAATGAAAGTTCAAAGTTTTTCATAGATTATCTATGGTATTTACATGTGACACATACAGCGCCATCTATTGAAAAAAGTCACAATCGTGTCAAGTTGAAATAAGGCAAAATAACCCAGAAAATGCTTGTCATTCTTTCAGAGCTAAGCGTCAATTTGGTGGACCTGGATTTGGTGGACCTGGATTCCAACAACCGAACTACGGCAGCTCTCAATCAACCGCTCAATCAAATTCGCATAGTCAAGGTTTTGGACCCGCTGGTTTTGGGAATGCTAACGCTTTAGCTGGTGCACAAGGTGAGGTCTATTCACCAATAGTTAAGTTAGGAAAGGAATTTCACCCAAAAAATATCGTTTACAATTCATCTTAATTTTTGCAGCCTTTCAAACCCATGGTCCTAGTGGTTCCTTCGGAGCAACATCATCTAATGCACACACAGATACGTCGAACTCATCACCATTCGGTGGATTTTCAGTAAATTCGATTGCTAATGAATATTTTGTCATGTTGTTCATCATTTTTAAATATTCCTTGATCATTAGGGAAGCAACACGAATTCGGGTGGGCAGACGTATAATTTGCCGAATGGGCAAACGTTGAACATCGCTTACAACAACGGATTCAGTAATACTAATGGAAATCCAGCACGCAGCCAAGGAAGCTCAGTGTCTTTCAGTGGTTGAAAGAAAAAACGATTGATTAAACTACCAAAATACTCAAATTGAAATTTGTAACAAAAAAGAGGCTAGCCGAACAAATAAATTTTCTTTTAGTGAACAATTTGATAATTTTTTTTAGAAATTACGACGGTATGTGTGCATCATAATCATATCTCTTTAAAATTCGGCGAATTGAAAACATTATGTATTAGCAACCATACGTTTATGTGCGTTAACTCTAATCAACCCCGTGTTACATATATGTAACGCTTTTTGACAAGTAACAAACCTTGGTACAAAAAACTTAACGAGTGATAATATCATTATGCTATAGCGTGTTTATGATTCTTAAAGGATGTCACTATTCAGTGATCCTGGAGGATCTAAAGTTGTTGGAATTTTTTTTTAAGTTACAAAACTTCAAAATTTTAATTTGTTGAAAAAAGTGAGTTTTTTTAAATTTTTTTCGTCGATTTTGCACTGAAAATCACAAAATTAAAAATGAATTCCGGGAAAACTAGTGGACAATTGAAAAAAAACTGAGTATGCAGGTCTTATTTTTTCCATTTAAATAAGATATTTTAGCAATATTTTGAAAATCGGTGAAAAAAAATAATTGTGGGTCAATTCGAGTTAAGCATGTAAGACACAATGATATCGCTATTCTAAGCAGAAACGATAACATCGAACAGTAAAACAAAAAATTGAAACCAAGTTCGAATTATGAATTTGGGAACGAACAATTCAGTTCTGTATTGAGTGTTTCAGGATTTGGATGTGTGAATCAAGTATGTGTTTGGTTTGTTTTTAAATTTTTTGCTGTGTACAGTCGTAGCTCACTTTCCCTACCGATTATTAAAATTTGTTATCGTTCAAAAATTTGGAATCGTTCAAAAAACGGAATGAATGGGTCTCACAATGAACACAATCACACTTTTCAGGCTGACTCTGATTTTTTGCTCCTGTGTGTGCTTAGCGTGATGTTTCTTCGACGATTGAATCAGTCAGTAAAAAACAGGAATATGAAAACATTTTGAAGCGAATAAATTTAATCATTAAATTTTAATGTAATAATGGTTGATTTTCGAAATTGATTTTCGGTATTTTTCTAATTTTGATGAAAACCATATGACCGTGTTCTACCACCTGCATGTGCTTTTCGTACACGACTTTCATCCGTACGATCTAGAATTTAAATTAAACATTCGTATTCAATTAGAAAAAAGTATTGTACTCTCAAATATCGAATCACTGACCGCGAACGATGAGTTCAGTGGTGAACATTGCATTCTGGGTTATTAACTCGTGTATTATACAATCATAAATGCCAGCATCACTTTTCTGTGTGTTGCAGATAATCTGAAATGAATACATTCAGTTCAATGAATTGAATTTAGTTCAATCGAAATAGTTCAAAAACAAATATTTGAATAATTTTAAAAGTAAGAATGTCAATCGTACCAAATCACGTCCAAAAAGTCTATGATTTGTGGACAATTGTCGTCCATCTGAACGTATCCAGTATATAGGTTTGTTCTTGACTGGAATTTCACATGTCATCTTGGTAGTAGCACCTTCAATCACACTGTATTGCTTTGAAGGATGTCTTATGGGACGATTGTCTTGAATTGGTGAATCGTTTACTGTATTTGTGTCGTCATCGCCTTGATTTGAAAAACAGAACAAAAATTTAAATATTCATTGCTATAGAATCAACATCTATTTTAATCTCAACCTATCCTATGCTAGCGATGTAAATAGTAGCTTAGCAAATAATTTCACTCCAAATCAATATCAACTGAACACTTACCAAAATTGTCACGTCTGGGCTCAACACGAACGGTGATAGTTTTTCGATCTTCACCAGCTGCGTTTTTAGCAAGGCAAATGTATGTTCCTTCATCGCTGCGGTAGGCCTTGTATGTGCGGATTAAACTTTGATATGAGGGTTTATGTTCGTTATGAAGTGGTGAATATCCCTTGGATTTTGTTCGCCTCTGCAATGGATTCGTATCCCTTTTGACTCTATCAGGTCGTTCCCATTGTACATTCGGCAAGGGATATCCTTCTGCGAAACATTCCAAATAGAATTCATCGCCTTCGGTTACAGTCAACACTTGTGTATCGGGCAAAATATGACTAATTGGTGGTTGTAGAACGCGAATCACTGTCGTTTGTGTTACTCCTCCGACTTTGTTTGATGCACGACATTCATACTGTCCCGCATCTTCGACGATTATGCTTGAAATGGGATAATCAATTGAAATTAAATCGGGTCCATCATATGTTTCTTTAACGCGCTGTGAAAGTGGTTTTCCATCACGACGAGCCCACATCACAGTTGGAGCTGGGAATCCGGCAAGCACACGACAGGTCAAAATGACCGATCCATCAAATCGAACGGATTGTGGCTGAAGCGGTTGAATTTCAATAGATGGTAGCACATATTCTGTGGAAATGCCGTGAAATCAATTCAAATTTTGCTTCAATTCAACTAAGTTTGAAATTTTTTACTTCGCTTTGGTGGGACTTCACAATGGTCACCTTCAGTGTTGTCACGGCAATTCTAAACAAATTAAAACCATTATTTTATCTTCGATCCTATACACTATCCGCATGACTTACATGACAAACGCCAGTTTTAGCATCGCACTCAACTGAATGTCCGTTACAATCGCATGGTTCGCACAACCCTAAGTAATAACCATTTTCGCTTCGTCTGTAACCTGAAGCGCATTCTTCACAACTGGTTCCCTGAAAACCTTGTGGACATGTACATTGTTCAACTTCCGAGGCACGGGCTGGGTTACCAGTGTAGTGTGAACTGGTCGTATCCAAAATGACTGAAGACAAAGCGGCTTCATCAGTTGTGGTCGTGTATGTTGCTTTGATGAAAATATCCGATACATCGGCCAAAGTCATGAGCAAATGTTCACGATTGATGCTAACTCCATCGATACGTTGCCAATTCACTTCCAAAAGTGGTACAATGTACGGTTGGGAAATGCTTGGAGCGACTTCATCATGACGATAATGCAAAATGGTGATTTCATTCGAACTGCGAATGACCACATCGGGTGCGTTGTTTCGTGACATAATACCACCAGGCATTGGCACATATCGAATGGTGTAGTTGAGATTTCCACCATACGACGTGATTTTGTTACCGGCAAAACGTGATGGCAAACGCCAGAAATAAACATCTGGATCACCAGCCAAATTTTGAATCAAAACTTCATTGTTGTATGTGCTAACCTCAAGATCACTTTCTTGTGGACTTTCGAAATCGGTGATCAATGCGAATTCATGGCGGTTCGGGGCGAATGTAGCAATAGTCGAGTCTCTGTACAATGAGCTGCTGGTACATGTTTGGCTCACACCATTACAGAAACACTGAATGCATCCGGTGTTGAATCTTGGACTTAAGAAGAATGAATGGCTTGAGCATTGATCGCAAAGGGCGCCGGATGCATGTTCTTTGCATTCGCAACGACCGTCTGGATGCTGACGAAGTGTTCCGCTTGGGTCACAGTGGGAAACTGGTAGTGGTTGGGTTGTTGTAGTCGTTGTTCTAGTCGTAGTTGTAGTTGTCTGCTCTGGCGTTTTTGTTGACGTGGTAGATTTTGCCGTCGTTGTGGTTGGCTTAGGTGGTGATTTTGTCGTAGTTTTCCTTGTGGTTGGCTTAGGTGGTGATTTTGTCGTAGTTTTCTTTGTGATTGGCTTAGGTGGTGATTTTGTCGTAGTTTTCCTTGTGGTTGGCTTGGGTGTTGGTTTTGTTGTTGGCGGCTTCATTGTAGTAGTTGTAGTCGCAGTAGTCGTTGTCAAAGTTGAAGACGAAGTTGGAGCCAAAGTTGAAGTGGAAGATATTGTCATCGTTGTTGTATTTATTCTTGGTTCTATGGTGGTTAGTGTAGAATTGGTGGTTCCTATGAATGTTAGGCTAGTGTTTAGAACTAGATTCAGAAATTGAATTGAAATCATTAACTGTACCTGTTGTTGTTTCCCCGATTTTCGCGTCTGTAACGACAGTTTCTGGTGTTGTCATTGTCGTAGTAGTACTTGCTGTTGTTTCTTCTGTAGTCAAAATCGTGGTCGATGGCTCTTCTGGGGTTGTGGGCTTTACTGTTGACATCAAAGTAAAAAAAAACTAAGACAATTTCTTAAGAAAACTACCAAATAATTAAAGAAAATATATTTGATTATCGTTCACATCCCAAGTAATTTTTCTGTGTAAATTACCAAGTATATTACAACAAACCCGTATCAAAGAATACATTAGTACTTCCGAACAAAAACGTTCTCATCTTACTAACTTCTCCTCTTCTTTGAATTTCATATCTACTCAAGTTTGAACACCAAAAACGATGTACTCACTACAAAATTCTGGGTTTTCATCTTCATTTTCGTCACAATGAGAAATTCCATCACATTTCAACACATTGTAAATGCACCTTCCATTGTTACACTTGAATGTATCCACATCGTCACACGCTGAAAATATTAATCAATTTAATGTTCATTTCATTTTTTACCACATTCTGTGCACACATTATTGACGGAGAACTGTCGAAGTTTACTAACTGTTTTAGGTAGTTTCAAGTATTTAAAATGCTCAGATGTATTTGGCGTAAAATGAAACAATTTCATCAAAACGTGTACGCTAAAAAACGGTATCTACCCATACTAGTATCCAATACTCACAACAATCCGCTTCATCATGACCAAAGGGGCACACATCCAGGTCTTTTGCACCGTTACTAAAAATTTTACAATAGAATCAATTTCGAATAAACATATGGATTGAATAAATATTACCATTTGTATAAATCATCTATGCATTTGCGTTCACCATTACGCTGAATACATGAGAATTGATCGTCACTACACTCTGAAATATCAGAAAACAACACATAGTTTCAAAATTTCAAAGAAAAATATTTTACGATGCCAAAAAATCTGCGAAATTATTAGACAGTTTACCGGCTGAAGCCTGTGTGAATTGAAAGATGAGGAGCAAAACGGTAACCCATGAATTCAAATGAGCGATATTCTCACGGAAATGTTTCATAGTTTTAGAAGGCCGTTTTTATAGAACACGATAGCTCGTTTATAACTACACAATGCACACATTCATTCAAATTGACTATATATAAGTGTTCGTTTTTCAATTATCTCCTCGAAAAAAGAATTGGATTGTTTCCAATTGGAATTATTTTTTAAAAAAATGGAAATTTTGTCATTACTTGCTAAATTAGCCCAACACAATGTTCTGTTCTTGAAATTCTTTCGGCATTTCCAGAGGTCGCATATTTGCTGCTGAGAAGGCCTTATAATAATTGATAAGCAACGTGGGTGCCAGCTAGAAATGACAATTTTGCACCGTAAGTGCGTTAAAATAGCGATTCAGGCGCCTGAGTTAGGAAATTTAGCTCAGCTCAGGCCTTCTTAGCAGCAAATATGCAGCCTCTAGGCATTTCTGTTGCGTTAACTCAATTGAATCACTGTTTCATTATTAATTTTTAAATTGTTTGTAAGATTTTCGATATAAATATCAAAAAAAAAACAAATTGTGTTTTTTTTCACCAAAAATGGGAAAATGACTTTCCATATGATATGGTCAATTGGTCATATGAATGGGCAAGCGGAATAATGAAACGTAATTCTGTTTTTAGATGAAGTGCCTCTGTGAAAAATTTTCAGTAAAAGTGCCCCACAAAAATATTGTCTGAATAAACGACACGTGAATTTGTTTTCATGCAAAAAAATTCATGTACCACTTTTACTGAAAACAAATTTACGAGGCGATTCAAATTGAACATTTTTCGTGGGGCACTCTTTCATACAATATTTTTCGGTGACGTCACTCGTATTTATCACATAGTGCAAATTGAGTGATAAGGAGCTCGAATTTCGATGTGGCGATAACACCAATGGATTGGGCACAAAAAATACTGTATTAGAATCGAAAAAAAAAATTTATCATTTTTTTTCGATTTTTGCGTGTGTTGGACCGTCTACATGGGAAGTTTGTATGAAAACCTCGGAGCGCCGCTGCTATTGCATTGGCTTCTATGGCCAAATGTACACATGGAAATATCTCGAAAACGGCTGGCTAAATCGAAAAAATGGACCATGGTGTCACTCCCTAAAGGGAGTGTTAACACCCAGCTGGTTTGATAGCCAAGAATACAAATCCGGTGGAATTTGGGCTGATCCATAGATTCTCAGGATTCGACCTGATTCTAACACTTCAATTTCTTTCCGTCGTGGTGAAATTCCATACAAAACAAAGGTAAAATGACTTTACAGATACACATAAAAGAGGAAGCACTGGAATCTGGCCAAATCCAGAGAATCCATGGATCAGCTGAAATTTCACCGGATTTGTATTCTAGGCCATCAAACCGCTCGCTTCGTTCCTCTTGAAAATTTACGCGCAATAAATGTTGCACACATAAACAGGCATATGCACGTCTACAAGCGCGTCTTACGAGCGATTATGAATGAACGTATTGAGAAGAAGTGTCGCCAATGTGTTAATATTGTATACAAATATAGCACACTCAATATTGTAAGGCACTCACTCAACACTACGATCATCCATAATCGCTTGTAAAGCGAAACATGTTCAATCGTGTTCGTGTTTGTGTGCAGCAACGAAGCGAGCGGCTCTGTTGTTCGTAATACAACAGCTTGTAATACGAGCAAAAATTGCACATAAGTGTGAGCGAAACAGCATAAGTTTTCGGCGCTCGATTGTCTTCCATATAGGCCAATGCAATTGAATATAATATTATTAAATATTTACGCATGGAAATATCTCGAAAACGGCTGGGTAAATCGGCAAAATGGACCGTGATGTCACTCCCAAAGGGAGTGTAAACACCCGGCTGGTTTGATGGCCTAGAATACAAATCCGGTGAAATTTCAGCTGATCCATGGATTCTCAGGATTTGACCAGGTTCCAGTGCTTCCTTTTTTATGTGCATCTGTAAAGTCATATTCCCTATGTTTTGTATGGAATTTTACCACAACGCAAAGAAATTGAAGTGTTAGAATCAGGTCGAATCCTGAGAATCTATGGATCAGCCCAAATTCGACCGGATTTGTATTCTAGGCTATCAAACCAGCTGGGTGTTAACACTCCCTTTAGGGAGTGACACCATGGTCCATTTTTTCGATTTAGCCAGCCGTTTTCGAGATATTTCCATGTGTACATTTGGCCGTAGAAGCCAATGCAATAGCAGCGGCGCTCCGAGGTTTTCATACAAACTTCCCATGTAGACGGTCCAACACACGCAAAAATCGAAAAAAAATGATAAATTTTTTTTTTCGATTCTAATACAGTATTTTTTGTGCCCAATCCATTGGTGTTATCACCACATCGAAATTCGAGCTCCTTATCACTCAATTTGCACTATGTGATAAATACGAGTGACGTCACCGAAAAATATTGTATGAAAGAGTGCCCCACGAAAAATGTTCAATTTGAATCGCCTCGTAAATTTGTTTTCAGTAAAAGTGGTACATGAATTTTTTTGCATGAAAACAAATTCACGTGTCGTTTATTCAGACAATATATTTGTGGGGCACTTTTACTGAAAAATTTTCTCAGAGGCACTTCATCTAGAAACAGAATTACGTTTCATTATTCCGCTTGCCCATTCATATCTGTATTACTTTTAGCTTAAACATTATTGTATGTCCTCGGAATTCACTTTCATATCCATTTATGCACTTTTTGAAACAAAATTTATAAGAACAATTTGAAAACACGACTGTATGAAACCAGCACTTGCAGATTAATGACAAACTTGTGCCCATTTTATTGGATCAAGTGCCATTTTTCATATCATTTTAACGGATAAATTTCCAAAAATAGACTTCTCAAGATTTTGCATCCACTCAACTGACATCATTCATAATTCCATACGTTATCAAAAACACTGACCACGAATAATACGAAGCGGCCCACGAGTAAACTCGGTTATCACTTATTAATTCATAGAAAACATCACACATGCGTTTTTATTACACAAAAATCCAAGAAAAAAAGATCACGCTGCCGGCAAACTTGAACACGTACAATCGATATCAACGTTTCCTTTTTTGTTTGTGTTCTGACCATATCAGAAAAAGTGAAATAAAAGGTTCTCTTGAGCTGCAGTTTGGCGCTTAACTGACTGTTCGACGACGCCATCTATTGAACGTAATTTCAATTGAAAAAAAGCTCTTTCGTAAAATCGTAAAAAAGAGACTGACGTGTCATCGTTCTCAGAATGGAAAGGAATATAACGGGAAAATTCGCTTTTAATCCCAACACAAGGACATTATGCAATTGAAATGATTTCGAATTTTGTTTGAAGGCACGACATCATTCATGTCACGTTGTTAACCAAAAATTTTTTCTATGAGTCTAGATGTTTGTTTGATTGGCATTTTTTCGATGTAATTTTACTTAAACCACCTCTATTTATAACCATTTTCACCAGTTTGATATCGATTTCAAACAATTCGTTGCGCCATGAAATTGTTTCCCAGTCAAGGTAATAGCTCATCGGAAAGTGTACTCAAAATAATTGATTTCAGCGATTAGGTGAGTAACAAACATAACCGCTTGATTACAAAATCAATAAGGAGACGGAAAAGTAGATTGAATTCAAGTTCAAAAATAAATTATCATGGGAAAGCATGCTTTAAAATTACACAGTTATTTAAAACGATTTAAAATCGGTGCTCGTTTTTTTTATAGAAGGATTAGAATTGGAATCAATTCAAAATGAATTGGTTGTTTATGGTTGAAATGAGGTCTTTTATGAAAATAATTAGTTTCTTATGACTTTGATCCTAATATTCCCAATTCACGTATATGCTGCAACCGGTGAATTGGTTCCCATCGTTCCACTCTTCATTCCTGGAATTAATCAAGCCACACCAATTGGATACATACTCCATTACATATTTCATATCTTTCTCATCGGATTTGTTCCGCTTGGATTTGCCGGCTTCGATTATTTAGTCGCAATAATAATTACAAGTTCGTTGATTTTTTCCAAATTAATTTCGATCGATTTGAAACAAATGAATACGGATTTGAGTGACGAAAACACAAAAATGATCAACGTCGTCAGTCGATTCAGAAACGCTCTTTTGATGCACGATGAAATGGGAGAGTACATGGAACGCACTGAGAGAGTTACATTCGTCATGTTTTTCTTCCATGTTGGAAGTGCGAGTTGCGGTTCAATAATTTGGCTCTATGTCATCTTGGTGGTAATTTTCATTTTTTCATGAGAAGAAGAACATAACATGCAACTTTCAAGTGATTCGATTTTTTTTTGATGAACTTTAGATACATTATTTACCTGCTTTTGGCCTTGAAATTGCAATGCTATTTCAAATTTTCATTGCTTGTTTACTCGGTCATTTTGTCGAGATATCGGTGAGTATTCATTTTGTTAATATCTTTCATTGGTCCTATTTAATTATTAGTAATTTGTTGATTTGGTGATTCAATAACTAAAACGTATGTCGTAAGTAATGTTATTTCATTATTATTTGGCTTTTCAATCGATTTAGTTAAGCATGATCAAATCTACTCTGAAGTTAACCAATTGAATTGGAATGAATTACCCATAAAGTATCAACATTTCTACAAATTCTTCATTCAACGCTGTCAGAATCCAGCTTTGCTAACGATTGGAGGAATTTGGCCGCTCAATTTGAACACTTGCATCAAAGTATGATTGAACATCATTCGAGATACATTCACATTTTGCTAAGCATTTTCTTTTTTTTTTCTTATAGATAGTCTCCAAGATTTATTCGACAACCATGTTCTTTTACCAAAGTATTCAATAAATGGGTCGAGCAAAGACTTTAAGACAAAACAACATATAAAAAATATAAACAATTGCTTTCCGGCTATTCATGAAAAATATTTTATTCTTCTATTTAAATATTGTGCTTATAAATGTGTTTGGTTAAAATGTATTCGTTAAATAAATGAATTGTAGTTCATTTATGGAGAAAATGATATTATAATCTATTTTCAGCACTTAATTTCAAACCGTAGAAAATCACCAACGGTGTGAAATGCCAACGTTTCCTCCATAATTTGGCCGTGAACCACCTCTACCGTAATCTCGGCCGTAGTTGACGTTGGCTTCGACCCTTGTTCGACCATCGTTGCTCTGCCACACTCGGCCAGCCTGAGCATTCACACTTGTTGTTCGACCTTGTTGTTTTATATCAACTCCTGCTTGACCGTTACTCGTCTGGCGTCTTGGACGAGAATGTTCATCGATGGCATCATACGCTTGACCTTCGTAATACGTCGGCTCGAATTGCAGTGCTGACTCTTCTTGGATGTCAATTGCAGCCGCTTGATTAACTGCGACGTTGCAAATTGCGATCAAAACCAAACAGATGAATACTTTCATTTTAAATTTTTCGCTTTATTTGATTTTGAACAAAAATCTCAATGATTCACTTGATCGAACTGAAGAATATTGAACGACTGATGTGGCTGATGCGATTCGGCTTGGCTTAAATACATGAAGTTATCGTTTGTACGATCGCGGGGGATTTTTATGAGAAAAACAGAAATGAAAATAAATTCACTTCGGTTTTTCTTCCAAAAATCCCCTTAACTTGGAAACAGCTTTGCGCATTTAAACCATGCAGAATCACAAGCATAAAGCTACAGTGCGTTTGTGAATTACCGTATGTGATATGAAATCTAAACAGAGAGACTCGAAGAAGAAATATACTCGATTCTACACAGACTCAAACAATTCATTGTATCATATGGTTAGCTGATATTGTAGCGCCGGTACTTTTTTTCAAATTCCGACGAAAACAAGTGTTCATTAGAATTTATTCACAAAACAGTGAATCCCCACAATTACTCTGTGCATCTTCTATGGTAGACAAATCAATAGCATCTGTTTTATCACACAGAGCAAAGCATATCAGCATTTGACGTGCCAACGGCATGTCTACGGTCTAGCCGTCTGTTATACAGCTGCTCATCGTTGAGTACACAAAGCTGTAGTCAATAACTACTTACATATGCAAGTGTGACGCATGCCAAACAGATCATATGAATGGCAGACGTATGATCAACATAGTATGATCAACATATTTGCCGCATACTTATTTAGATCGATGTATTTACATTCATTTGACTAATTCATCGAAGATTTGAGACGAATCTAATTTATTTGACGGGAATTCACATTTTCCAAGCAGATAATTGAGCTAAGGAAGGTGCATGGATAGATTAACACTATAAAAGCGAATCATTTTCACCGTTTAACCGCCATTCGCTTGAACGCAATCAAACCGATCAGTTGAAATCATTTCAGTATAGTGAATATTTTCTTAAATTCGTAAAAATGTTGGTAAAATCGTTCGTTTTATTTTGCTTTGTGTCATTGAGCTGTGCTCAATATCAATACGAAGCTGATAATCTCGAGTTCATACAAAACGAAGAGCCATTATACGAGCATTTGTCAATAATCAGACCACTTCGAGTGCGTCGCCAAACTCTTTATGGTGGTTTGACACCTGGAAATCCTGGAGCAAAGGCTACGATTGGCGCACAAGGTAATATTTTCAACAACAATGGCCATTCATTACATGCTAATGGAGAAATTAGCAAGAATTTCAAACCAACTGGTCCTACGTCAGTCGGAGGTGGAATCAACTATCAAGGACCAAAAGCTGGCGTCTCCACAAATGTGAACCATGTTCATCGCTTTGGTACGGACGTCGGTGTTTCAGGTAATGCCAACATTTGGAAAAGCCCAAACGGACGCACATCGGTTGATGCAAACGCTGGATACAATCGTCATTTCGGCGGCCCAGGCGGCACTGGAAGACCAAATTATAATGGCAACATCAATTTTGTACATCGATTTTAACAACGTATATTCAAAGTTTAGCTATTCAATGAAAGAAATCCATAGTAATATTACATTGTATTTGAAATTTTAATTTATTCAATAAAAAGCTATGAAAATATTTAAAAAAAAACACACTTTTTTCTTTCACAATCTCTATTTTTTCATTCAAATGAAACTAGTATAAAGTTCAGCAGATTGTTGTAAAATAATTTTAACCAACCAGTCAACGACACTGTTACTGATATGATTGATTCAATTATGATACAAGATCAGATATGCATGCGGGAAGAAATTTTCCAATTTGTCCCCTATCTGACATTTTAAAAAATCGGACAATTTCTATCAATGATGTTCTTTTTGGGGTCATTAATAATTTTGCGCCATATGAACATAGAAGCTTCTATAAAAGCATAATAAATTGGAACAGAAATCAGAATTCAATGCTTTACGTGGCCTGAATAACACCGAACATTGAATTTTTCAGTGTTTTTTTTTCAGTTGATGTGTCATGTTATTCGTTGGTATCAGGTGAATCAGCGACTTTTTAGGTTAAAGTACGTGAATGTAAATAAAAAATACATTGTAAATTTGCTTAACACCAGGAAAAATATTAAATTGTCGCGCAAAAAGGTATTACGATTTAAACGTTCGCGTAGAACGACAAAGTTAACGACTTGTTCGAACTTCGTTTCACACATTGAAAATATTCTAAAACTAATAAAATGTGTTATTAACACTCGTTCTTCCGTGTTGTTTTTCAATATTGATGCCTTTGCTGGCTCGCCTCTGTCGCGAATGTTCTTTGATGGCATTGTACACTTTCAGATTGAGTTACGATGATTTTCCAATTCTTCACTATTCAAATGGCCGAAATATTAAATCTCGTGATATTTTCGTGCACCGCATGAGAAATAAATGCTCGCAAACGAGTCAATACAACTTTATCAGCTCAAGTGACGTCACGACGGGGCTCGGTACTTTCAATGTTTGTATAACAGCGATAACATTGAGCATCGTGCTACTGTTTCAATTTCATTGATGCTGATTAAATTGCTGATTGCTTCGTTTTTTAAGATTTCCCACACTTATTCGAACCGTGATGAAGCAAAATTATTCTTGATTTGTCATAGTTTTTTTCGTTGTTGTTGATATAGAGCCAACAGCATTTTACATAGGAAGTTAGAAAAAACGTGTGCTTAAAAAAATTTCATTTAAAAATAAATGAAAGTTTTGTCTATTGTTATTTAAAAAATTACTTTCTGCAGAATTGAGAAACTACCAGCGATATAGAATGCCAATGTTGGCTCCATAGTTTAATTTTTTTAATTTCCAAAATCGTGATCATTGTGAGCATCGACTTCGTTCATGTTTCCTTTGTTGCTCTCCCATATTTGGCCAGCTTAAGCATGCACATTGCAGATTAGTAGTTGTTACGCATTGTATACAACAAACCATAGTTACACATCAACGCCTAATTGACCATTGTTAGCCTAGCGTTTTCGGCTAATCGAATTGCGACGATATGAATGATGGATAATTTCTACAACATATCACACTGCTTCAATACTCTTTCAAATTAGCAATTTATCAACTCAAAAGACGCATTTCTTTCAGTTTGCTCAATTTTTTGCGGGGGTTTTTCTAATTTTCTGTGCACCTCTTTAGTTCAGAAAAAAGTTTTGGCTTTAATTTTAGAATTCAATGGGTATGGTATTGAGTGAAAAATCACCGATTGACTCATCGGTTATCCATTCAAAAAATGGATTACCCACACATCTGCTTAGATGCTGCACGTTTAGCTGAATATTAATGAATTGAACAACGATAACGGTGACTTTTTAACGTTTGTCTATTTTATTTTAAATTCTGTCTCGCTCTCGGTGATTCCCATCTAAACCATAACAAACTCACACATACTACATGACAGCGAGCGATTTAAGTATAAAAGATAGTTTCATTTCCACTTGAGGCATCAAATCAGCCGTAGCATTCGTTGAAAGTGTTACCAGTTATTCGAATCAGTCCAAAATGAATACTTTGTTGTGTGCAACCGTAGTTATTGCTGTCTTTGGCGCAATCGCTTCAGCTTATCCATCGTTTGACGAAGTGGAGGACGCATCTTGGGTTCGCATTCCGAAAACGTTTGTTACGAGCTCAGACATGGAAACTGAAAATCAAGACGAAGTAAAGCCATTGGAACACGGCCGCAGTCGTCGATCACCGGGAGACGATCGAACGAAAATCTATGCCGAAGGCAGTCACGATCGCAGAGGAGGTAGCAATATCTATGTGCAAGGACAGCATCGCGTGTGGCAGAGCCAAAACAAGAAGAATGAAATTCACGCCAACGGACAGTTCGGCCAGCACTTTGGTGGACCAGGTGGTCGGTCACCACCAAGCTATGGCGGTGGCTTGACATACACTCGTCGGTTTTAGAGAAACTGGATAGAGCTTGAAGTTGGGAAAATAAAATTATAGAAAAATAAAAGAAAAATTGAGCTTTCACCTAATTGATTTTGTTTTTATTTT